GGTACTGGGTGACATAACTGGGACGTGCATAAGACGACGTATTATTACTACTAAGGCCAGTTTCCGCGTGCCTTCGTCTCTCACTGAAAGCAAATGTGGAAAACCACTAGGACTTTTGGCTGGAGATTTGTTCTATGCTGCGATAATAACTATTGTTATAAAGCTCTGAAACTGTACGGTTTTACAAAATTTTAATCCACAAGTTTTCAAACCCCCAAGAACATGCTTTTTTGTAAAAACCTTGCAGTTGGTTAGTAAGAAAAAGATTGGGGCTTCAACGCTTCATATTTTAACGCACTGATCTGCATTTTGTATGGCTTTTAACGTATTGATTCCTGCAGTACCGCGGTGTTGCATCCGGGGATTTTTTGGGATTTTGAATTTTAGCCAATCTTCCTTTCCAGGAATTATGTTTTTCTATTGGTTTTTTGTGCTTCTTCTGGCAAAAACAACCATAGAAGCATATGAGCTGAAGTGTACGCCAAATGCAACAGCATGGACCCAGGAAGATTCACTTCCTGCAGCATTGGCACTGAAGGATAGCTATAACGTATGTTCTTATCTCAGTTATACCTATTATCTCTTTTCTTGTCTTTAATTTTATCTTTCCAAAAGTATGTATTTTTGCATAAAATCGGTAATTTTTCTTATAAAAATTTTTGTAAAAATCGATCATTTTATTAAAAATCGGTAATTTTTCTCATAAAAATTTTTGTAAAAATCGATCATTTTATTAAAAATCGGTAATTTTTCTTATAAAAATTTTTGTAAAAATCGACCATTTTATACAAAATCGGTAATTTTTCTTATAAAAATTTTTGTAAAAATCGATCATTTTATGCAAAATCGATCACTTTCTTTTATAAAACTTGCTGCATTATTTTTTTTATAAAAAATTTTTGATTTTTGTTTAGTAGCCGTTGCACTGATAAGGTCCAGTTGTGGAAGTAAATAGCAAATTTTTGTGGATATATTGCTTCAGTTGTTGGGTGTGAAAAACAAGAGCTAATAGTTTAAAATGTATGGGGGGGAAGGGGGGGGCGGGGAGGAGGGAGGGGGGCAACCGGTGAGCCGCGAACCAAATCCGACCCGCCATTAGTTTTAATCCGGCCTGTGGATGGAATCGGGATGTGATGCCTAAATAGATGAACGGGGTTTGTATTTTGCCATGCCGAAACGTTGAAGGGTGGATATCTTTCCGTGGTTCCCGAGATAATAATTTACCCGTAAAAACTTTCATTAGCCCGTGGGTGATACCCGTGAGCGCGGGAACGCTGAATTTGAATGGGCAAGGTTGAGCCTGGGCAACGGGTCATTACTTTAAAATTTCAGCCTCCTAGACTCCGTGGCTCCCGAGATATTAATTTACCCGTAGAAAACTTTCACGGGGCCATACGTATTAACCGCGAGTGCGGGAAGGTTGAATTTAAATTTGCCGCGTCACCCGCTGGCGGGGAACACTATACCAAAATTTCAGCCGCCTAGCTTTTGTGGCTTCCGAGTTGAAAGTGCGGGACAAAATGTGGGACACACACACAAACACACACACACAGATAACTCCGTGACAATATGCGTTTTGTACTGCTGTTACACAGCATAAAACGCATAATAAAACTACAGTACGCACGAGGCTAATAGACGGCAGTATGTTAAATACTTTGAGACTCTGTGTCAGTGATATAAATCCAGATTTCAACAATCTTGTGTCATAAGTTCAAGCTCAGAGCTCATATTAATCTGCTGTTTTTTACGTTTTTTACTGAGTGAACCCGATAAAAAATTATCTGTTTTTATGTGTTTTTGTATTTTATGCAAATGCAAAACGCATAATTTCAAAAGTAAGTCTTTGCGACGCACTTTTCTTCCGCATGCAAGAAAAGACCAAAACACAGGCACATGAGTTGTGCGTGTTAAACTGTAGAACAACAACCATTCATACTGTAAACGATCTGATTGCGATAAATTTTGGCGCAAAACGCCAAAAAAAAAAAAAAAAAACGATCACACAGGCAAACCT